CAGTTAAGGATAAGGGCAAAAGGAAAGTAGGGGATCCATCTTTCCCTATCAACATTGTCCCTACTGAAGCTAATAGCTCATTTGCTACTAAAAGGGATGACCTAATTCCTGAGGTTCAATCTGAGGGGATGCTCTCCATCCTGTGGTTGAAGAAATTGCTGAATTTACTACTGACCAAATTGATCCTCCCTTTCTTGAGGTTGTAGAAACTGCTAATCCAACAGTTGAGGAAGTATCAGGAATGCGGGGAAAGAGGAAATGAGAGCAAGTTCTCCTGAAATGCAGGGAGGAAAGGGGATGGGAGCTCAAAGTGTGCAGCTCAACCAAGAAGAAGTTCTGGCAAATCTGGCAGCCAGAAGAAGAAAAGGAGGTAAATAAATGTTGTCTTTTTGTGGTGATCTGGTTGTGCTTTTGTTATTTATATCATGTCTATTAAACTTTCTTTTTGGAATGTTAGGGGGTTTAACAACCCCTCAAAACATAAAGAAGTTACTGACTTTGTTAAAAAAGAAGATATTAAAATTATGAGCATTTTGGAGACAAAAGTTAAAATGGAGAATGAAGCTAAACTTTTTGAAAAAATTTGGGTTTGCTGGGATCCAAATTTCTGCGATATCTTGACGCTTCAAAAATCAAACCAGTTTATTTTTGTTAAAGTAAACGTTTTTATACAGATTCCAATTTTTTTGCTACTTTTGTATATGCTGAAAATAAGCATGATTTGAGAGTTCCCCTATTTTTTGATTTAAAGAAAATTGCTCTCAATTATGCTAGTCACCCCTCTGTTTTCCTTGGTGACTTTAATGCTGTTCGGTTTTCTTATGAGAAATGAGGTTTGGAGTCGTGCAAATGACATTTTTAATAGTATGGCTTTGGACTCTGAATTGGACAATCTTTGTAGAAAGGGTGTCAATTTAGTTGGTCCAATAAGCGTGGGGGTGTTAATTTTATTACTTCAAAAATTGATAGAGTCCTTGTTAATGAGAGGTGGCTAACTGCTAATCCTCTCTCATGCTCTTTTCTTGCCTCCTGGAGTGTCTGATCACTCTCCAGTGATTGTACAACTTGGAGGTAAGGAGGCTAAGTTCAGAAAGCCTTTTAAGTTTTTTTGATTTTTGGCTAATCACTTTAGTTTCCTCTCCAGAGTGTATTGTGTTTGGGTTAAGTACATTAGGGGATCTCCTATGTTTAGGGTCTGTTAGAAGCTTAAAACCCTTAAGCCCATTCTAAAAGATTTGAACAAAAAGGAGTATAGT